AAAAAAATAGTTAAAATAAAATAATAATAAAGAGCTACTGTCAATAGACCAATATTTTAAAATCCAAGTAAGCCAAAATAAGGTAGGAAAGGAATAAGAACAAAAAAACAAAAGGGCCAAATGGAAAGCAACAGACTTAAATCCAATGATAATAATAATCACATTAAATATAAAGGGGTTAATATGCCAATTAAAAGGCAGAGATTGTTGGACCACAAGAAAAAGCAAGACACAAATCGGTACTGTCTACCAAACACACACACTGGTTGAAAGCAAATGGATGAAAAGGATATACCATCAAACAGTGAGCTTTAGAAAGCTGACATGACTATATTAATATCAGAAAAACTTCAGGGCAAAGAGTACTACAAGAGACAAAAAGGGACAGTTCATAATGAGAAAAGGAAAAATTCATCACAAAGGCAGAGCAATCCTAAGTATCCATGTACCTAGTAAGAGCTTCAAAATACAGGAAGCATGACAGAACTAAAAGGAGAAACTGACCAATCCACAATCTAGTTGGAGTAATCGATAAAAGGAATAGATAAAACAAATTAGTAAGGATATAGAAGATATGAGCAACACTGTCAACCAAGTTGACCTAAATGACATTTATAATACATGCACAAGCCACAAAATATAAATTATTTTCAAATGTACATTGATTGCTCACCAAAATAGACCATATGCTGGCCCATAATTAAGTTTTCAGAAAATTGAAAAAGATTGACATTTAATAAAGTATGTTCTCATCACAACAGAATTAAATTGGAAATTAACAATATATCTAAAAAGCCTCCTTTTTCTAATTCTACCCAGAATGAGTGTCTTTTCCTAATTTTTCTATTCAATGTGCTGTCTACTAATTGGCACAAAGATACATTAGTTAAAACAAATGAATTGATACCACTTAGGAATTATTATTTCCAACAATGAGTAAATTGATCCTTAATCTGAGAAAGCTTTTAAATACAGATAGTAATTTAGAGAAAATACAGAAAACATATTAAACAATACCACAGAGATGCAATCAGTAAAATTCAGACCGGTAACTCTTCAGCACAAACTACCCAGTAATACCAGAGACACAAAGAAAAAAGGCAAGGAAGAAATAAAGATCTTAAGTAAATATGGTAAAATATTGACTTTGATATATCAGGACATGATAGTGTTTTTCTACAACTCTGTGCCTTACATATGTTTAAAATGAAAAAAAGTAGATTTAGTAAAATCAAATACATGTAAATTTCCAGACACATTTTGCCAAGTACAGCTGAGAGTGAAATGAAATTATTAATGACTGTAGTTAAATGAGAATTCAGTAAAATTCAATATGCCTTCAGAATTGAGGCCCATTTCTTAAAGAGGCGCTGATAGCAAAGAAAAAAATTACCCTTTTCTGTAATTAAGACAAGTTCATCCCTGAAATTAAAAAAAAGACAAAGAAAAAGAAAAAACATGTAATCCAACCTTCTTTGATATGCATGCAATCAACTCATTTCAGTGTTTGCTGGATTGAACTGGTACATAAAGGAAAATGATTCATTCCTCAATCAGTTAAGGGAAAAAAGTATTTTCATAACATTTCACCTCTTTTCTCCTTTCTACCCCTGTATTTTCTCCCACAAATGGTACTACTAATCTATCTTTCCATAATCTTACACGTCTTATCTTTTTTGAAGCACTACTATTCACTCTATCACTTGCCTCCTGAAAATGCCTTTGCTACTTGAGGACATGAACAAAAAGTAAAATGAGTAAAACTGTCTGAATCCAGCATCAAGATGGCCCAGTAATCCCTACCTCAGCCTAGTCACGCTTTTTGGGTGTAAATACCCTCCACATTGCAACAGTTGTTCAGTGGTTAATAATATAGAAGAAGTGATGGTAATGGCACTTCTGCAATTAGATTATAAAAGGCTCTGTGGTTTTTGGTTCTCTCTCTCATCACTCATTCTAGGAAAAGCTATTGCAAGGACCCTACAGAGAGTCCAGGAGAGGAACTGATGCCTCCTGCAAAGGGCCACATGAGTGACCTTGGAAACAGATACTCTAGTCCCACACAACAGCTTGAGTGAGCCTCATGAGATCCTGAGTCAGAATCACCAGACTAAGCCATTCATTCTCAGATTCCTGACCCTCAGGAACTGTGTAAATGTTTTTTGTTTTAAACTACAGAGTTAAAAGACTATAGTTAGTCTTTTTTTAAAGATTCTTGTTAAATGAGAATTAAATATAACTGATTCCATCTAATTCAACATGCCTTCATAATCCCATGAAAATTCAATAAAAGGCCCATTTCAAAAGTTTGTTTTTGTGAGTAATCCATTACACAGCAATAGATAACCAACAGACATAAATAATGCTAAATAATATCTGCTCCTTTCAGACTAATAAGTGTATTATAAAAATGCCCAAGTTCAATCCAATGAAATACATGCTGTACAAACTCAACATACTATTAAAAATATTTCACATCAAAATCCAGATTTTATTACCTATCAGAACAGCAAGATTTTTAAAAAATGATAATGGTCAATATCAACAAAGATGTGTGGCAAGAGGAATTTACATTCTTAGTTGTTGAGAGCATAATTACTATAATCTGAGAACAACTGGGAAATATTTATCAAAATTTAAAGGTCACATGCAATTCTATTACTAGGCATTTACCCTACAGTTTGTCCATTACATCTTACATAATACTTGCATTTAAGTGCTTGAAGAGATATACAGATAGGTAGGTAGGTAGGTAGGTAGGTAGGTAGGTAGATAGATAGATAGATAGATAGATAGATAGATAGATAGATAATAGATAGGCAGACAGATATTTATTCCAGTGAAAAACTAGGAATTTAAATATTCATCAAAAAATTTTTAGTTAAATCAATTATAGTATACCTGAATATACCATCATACAACTGTTAAACCTAAAGAGGAAGACATATACATACTGATTTAGAAAAGATAAGCAAGATATACACAATAAAAAAAGTAAGCACATGCATATAATCCTATTTCCATGAGAGAACATAACAAGTTCATATTAATAAAATTACAATAGGGTCACTAATTAAAGCCACATATTTACATTTTGTGGTCTCTTTTATTTATTTAAAGATAATTATTATTGTACAGTCTTACATAGTAGACCAAATAAATCCTGTTTTAATTTCATTTCTGCTTAGCACCCATACCATCCAAATAATGATAATATGATAGTCAATATATACTGAATAATGTGACAGAAACTCTAACACCTCTAAATATTTAACATAATTATTTAATTCTCAACACTGTAATACAGGTAGTGCTATTATCTCCACTGCACACATAAATGAGACACAAGGAATTAGTAATTTGTCCAAAGCCACAAAACTTATAAAAGAATTCAAAATCAGAAGTTTGTTCTCTAGCCAATACCCTACAGTCTTTTACTCATTTTGTTCATATTTCAAATAAAAAAGGGACTATAAAAGTGTGGTCTATATCTAACAGCTTAGCAAATAAACCAAACTAAATGCACCACCAGAATGAGTTTGGCTATTCTTAACTCCTATGAGAAAACAAAAGGATTGAGAATACAACAAAAGCAATTTCTAATTAAAAATAGATATTTTACAATTTGCCTAATAAAAATGCCATTTATTTTACTGAAATAATATAATCTCCCTTGATTAGCTAATTTCTCCTAGGAAGAAATTTCTTCTAGTAAATTGCACTTAATTTCCTTCCAAAAAAGCAAATTCTCTCTCCTTGAGCACCAACTATAACAAACCTGATACAGAAAAATGAAGGGAAACTGAACAAAATCTCTAATAGCCCATATACAGTGTTCACCTCATTTCCCTGTTCCATGCATTCTTCTTGATTACTTTTGTCTTATTTCTACTCTAAAACCATTCAAACACAGCTCTACTGTATTTCTTTTGCTGGATAACGCAAAGGAAAATAAAAATTATAAGAGATCAATTAAGTTAGTTAATATACCATTACAATCATTATAACTATAACTAATCATGGAATTTATGCTTACCCCAAAACACTGTCTACCACACTACAGATTATCCATCATTTTTTATCTCTAAGAAACCACAGCAATATAGTATATGCTCACCATAATACAGCACCTTTCATCCTAAAGTGCTTTATAGAACCATCTTTGCAGAACCACATTTAACCATAAATGTGGCAAGAAACACCAATTCCTGCTTTGATTCTTCAAAATAAACTCAACCTCTCTCGTTCCCCTCCCCCACAGAAACTGGGCGCTCTAGAATTAGACATCTTCTGTTCCAGATCCACTTAAATAAGGGACCTTGAGCAGTCTCAGTTTCCCTTCCTGTGAAATGGGAATGATACTAATACTTCATGGAGCTGTTGTCGGAATGAAGTGATATAATTCATGGTAAAGCACTTAGAAGAGTGCCTGGCAGATAATGTACACTCAATGAATGCCAGCCATTATTATATCTCCAAAATTAACTGCCTAGAGTCTGCCCTTTTAGTAATGAGAATCAACAAGCTCCATCTGGACAAGTGGGCATACAGACGGGGCTTTCAAATTAACTCACACAACAAATAGAGCGGTATATACTCACAGTAATTTTGATTGCACAGCACTTTCGCTCCTTTCAATAAAAAATTTCTCCTGAAATTAAATACTCCGATCCCCCACGCTTTTAACCAGTGACATGTCTAGACCCCAGATGACAACATAGCCTACAAAAATGGCAGAGATTTTTATCGGCTATGGACCGCGAAACGTGACAAACTGCTTGGTATCACATCTGAGAACCTGCAGTCCAAAGCAGGCCAAAGAGATTCAGAGCTTTGGGCTACATCCGTTTACAGAAACAACGTTCCCTGTCCCCATTTTCCTCCCCAGTGTTGAAACTAACGACGCCCTTTTCTCCCTGGAGCCGACGCTTAGCATCTCTCGGCTCTTTCCTCCCACCCTGCACCTCTCACCCCCATGAATCCACTGTCTCCCAACTCACAGAGTGTGTCCGCACACGTTCACCATCAGCTTCAAGGAAGGGTTCCGGTATTTGGTGGTTTTACACCGAGGGCAGCCCTGATCGTCCATGTCGCCCTTTTCCTATAGACTCTCCCGGACGCCTGCTTCAGCCACAGACACAGCCACTTCCTAGCTCTCCTAAGACCCGACGCCAAGCAGGTTCCTACCAACAAGCCCTCGGCTGGAGCGGTCCCTTTGTGAATGAGCACCGGCCAGGGACGAGCACGGCAGCACAAACGTTCCGGCAGCGAGTTTTCCGGTCCTGCTGCAGGGTTCGGTCCTAGCTTCTGAAGGCCCGCTCAATACCTTAGATTTCGGGGCGGGGGGGCTTTAAAAAAAAGGCGTATTGTACACAAAGCCTCATCTCTAAGCACCTAGCTGTATTTTTCAAGGAACTGTGTCACAGTTAGAAACACAGATTTCATCTTGTTCTGTCTGAAAATATTTACATGACTTCAAAGATTTATGCCTAGTGTACATAGTCAATAATTCAGACCACTATTTTCTTTTAGATGACTTGATAGCCTGTGCTTTATACTTCTTCTTTATGCTTGAACTGTCATGCAAGCACAGAAAATACTACACATTCGCAGATTCAAAGCTTGGAAAAGCTATCTAGAACGACACCAACTCTAAATATTACAAACTTTCACTAAATGTCAGAATACTTCTATAAATAATATCTGGCCCCTGCTCTTCACAGAGCTGCTTACTTCATCAGTGTCAAGCCTGCTTAATGGTGTCACCTGGCTCTAATATCTCTCCCCCCACCCCCACCCCTAAATCAAAGACAAAACACTGGGAGGGGAGGGGGGAGATAAAAGAGATTTTCTATATATATACACACACTACCTTTATTTCAATAATTCTAAGATCTGAGAGCCTGAAACTCTTTGTAAGCCACGTTCACTGCATTTGTCAAGGCTGCAAAGCCAAGTCTGTAAACACCTCCATTAGATAGTGAACTCCTCCCACTTTTAGGGACACATCTTACTCATCTCTGTAACAAGGATTTGTTGATACTTACTGAACTAAAGTAAATGAAGAATGACTGAATGACCATCAAAGAGTAATATAATGTGAAAAGAAGTTTTTAAGCATTATCTTGTAATCTGACCCCAAATCTATCAAAAGTGGGCAAAGTTTTTCCAGTTAATCCATACAATGAGTAACAGCTGTATACACTCACAGTAATTTTAACTCCCCATAACACTTTTTCTTTTTTCAATAAAAACATAAAAAGGAACATTCCAGCTCCTACTTTTTAGGACAGTGCACTGAGTAGGCAACCCACAGTGTGGAAATAACAATTGCAATTTTCATGGGCTATGGAGGAGGAGCCTGACAAACAGCTGGATACCACACCTGGGAACCAGCAGACCAAAGCAGGCCATGACAGTGCCAGGCTTTATACTAATATACAGACATCAGGGATTCAGCCACTAAATAAATCATGTCACCTACTGGATCATGGTATCATTCCCTGACAGAAGCTAACCCAGTGTAAGTCCACTAACAGACAATGCCAATGTGTACTGGCAGGAGGGTTGTTAACACTGCTCTTGTTTTATTGAAACAGACCACATTTAAACCAGTTACAGGACTCCTAGTGAAGCTCTCTTGGAGCAAAGGCAACTTTCAAGATCTTTACATTTTAACAGAACAGGAAATTTCTGGCGAAAGAATGAATATGGTCAGTGAGCAAATTTTTAGCCAGCAATACATTGAGAAGTCATCCATTAAGTTGACATTCTTGCTTATTCCCACCAAGACACTTCTAATGTCCCTGAACAGGCGACCCCAATCGCCTTGTGAGATGAATTGCTTTTCCTTTATCCTAAACCTTGAGATTGAAGCAAAGAAAGCACTGAAGACTGTGGGAGGAAACACTGCTATAGGCTTTCTCCTTTTCCCAGGTTGGAAACTACTTCAGAGAAGCATTGTAGCAACAGCCTAGCTGGAACTCTAAGCATTACTCACAGAGCTAGAGACTGTAGAAAGTAGTGCTTATAGATTTGGCGCCTCGTGTCAAGAGAGCTGGTTTCAAGTATTGGCTTCATCACTTACATGACCTTGGTCCTCAGATTTCCCTACTATAACCTGAGGATAATACTTATGAAGATTACATGAGATATTTCATTTAAAGTGCTAAACATGGTATCTAGAGCTCAATAATTGTTAGTCATTATTAATAGTAGCATTATTAGCAGTAGTAGTATCTAAAAGAGTCAGTGTAATGTAATGCGATGGCCTTGCACATAATAGAAACTCTTAAAATGTATATGTAATAGTGGGATTCACTAACTACTACTGGCAGGAAAAGCTTTGAAAAGGAAAGCACTGACGGCCCCAGACTTCTGATTCATATGGAAACTCAACCTTTGTAAAAAACATCAAACTATCAAGTTTCCTAAATTTCTGAAAACAGCTGCATCCCAACACTGGACTAATTGAGCCCATTATTTTTCTTCCCAATCTGCTCGTCCTCTAGCATTCCCATCTCAGTTGAGAGTGGATTCTTCCTCCCTGGGACAGTGTTTCGCAAATGCAGACGCTCCTTTCTACCCAAAGGCTATGGACCCATATTGAGCTTTCCTTATCTGTAGGGAACATATATTGTTTTGTCCCTTGACTACAGATAGCACCCCTCCCCTTTCTTATGGAAAACAGCTCCTCTCCCAAAGGCCTTTGTAGTTCTAATAGGCCTGCCAATCACAATGCCCCATCTGGCTAGGGGTTGACATATAATACTTACTGGACCAATCAGAGATCCTCCCCGGAATTTTTCAAATTGGCAATCAGCGGAAAGCAGCAGAGCCTCTTTAGTGAACCTAAAAAATGTGGGCTGGGAACTACTGGAAGCCATGGTGCCGACCTTCTAGGGAAAGTTTCTTTGAAAGACTAAAACTAACATGATGAGAGAAACAAAGCAAGTGAAATGGGACAATAGGTCTGCAAGTCCGACCAGCTGCATGCCTGTTCCTCACATTGTTTGGTATCATGATCCAATTAATTCACGTTTCTGCCTAGGCCAGTTCAAGACGGGTTTCTGACTCCTGGGGAAATGCATGTCACCACAAAAAAGGCAAAAATGCTGCTACATGTGGGAGATGACTAGAACCTAGCCCTCAGTCTCTGCCAGGATCTTTTCACTCCACTACCACCCGTGTGACTCACTAGGTAACCCTCCCTCTCACCTACCGCTTATCAGCATCCTCTGCAGGCAGAGAGCTTGGTATTAAGAACCCCCAAGCATTACATCCAAGGTTTCTTCTACCACTCTTAATGCTTTCCTTTGTGCAAGTTTAAAAAACCCCAGAAAAGACTGATTGTTTGGTTTGGGGCAAATGCCCAGCCCTGGACGAATCACCTGTGGCAGTGATATTACGCAAAGACATAGCCACTGTGCACGCTCTGTACACAGTATGTGGACCACTGTGTCCACCACACCACAGCAAACTGGGCATTTCATGTGTCCCCAACATGCCTTTTAAGCTAATCTCCCACTACACACCTACATAAAACCCACACTCCAGACACACTTACTCAGTGTATTCAGAAATACACTACACACATTAGTGGGTCCATGCATTACTCATTTTGTTCCCACTGCTTCTAATGAACTCTACCTCAAAATTCTTGTCTGTAAAGGCCCAGCCAAAAATCCGCTCCCCATTGCCTGCTCTTTCTCGCTCTCAAAATTAGTCTCTATCCTCACCACTCCCGCACCCTGTATCGTATTTACTTAGGAATGTCTTATCTCCTTCCCCCACCCCCTCCCGATCTTAAGCTCCTCAGGTTAGAGACCCTCAATGTATATTCATCTGCCTGTCCCTCAGTACCTAATGCAATACCTGTACTTAATCAGGACTTAATAAATGGTTGGCAAATGAATGATCCTTCAGACATGTTGACTACACACCAACCACTGACTATCAAATAAAAGGAACACCCCCTCTACCTGGGAGATTACTTTAGAACCTAACTTCCTTAATCATACCAGTACACAGCTTCATGAAATACAAAGAACCCGCCAGCAGTTATATGGCCTTCCCTGTACTGGACAGCCAAAGTCAGCCTTGGAAAAGGGAATCTCCATTATTGATGGCAATGCTTCAAATATATTCAAGCAAAATATAACATTCTGTGCTGAACATTTCTTCAATACTCTAAAATGGCAGAAGAATCCCATGTATTCTCATCACTATTTTCAGGCAGGAAGGAAAAGATATGGAAATAAGCAGCTTGCTTTTCACTCATGCAGCCTCAACTCTGTTTCCCCAAATCACAATGCAGCTTTAAGCTGCATATCAGCATAGCAGACTCAATGTTCACAGCAATGCAGACATAGGAAGTAGAAGGGAGTATTCATTAACTTCACAAATCATTTAGCAAAACCAGTGCTCTGAGATTAACTCCACACACCCTCAAGTCTGATGTTCCTTCCAATACAGTTGACCATGTTTGCGTAGAGGACTTCTAGTTCACTTTGAACTGCTGCCAGAATGAGCTCTGGGCTCAACCTGCTAAAGGAATCTAGAGCCTAGTATTGGATTTCACTTCTGGTCCTACAGGAATCTCCTACTGGAACTACAGAATACGAATGTAGCTACAGGCTATAGAGATCATAAAAGCCCACCCCTGCTTCTACATAATCTGTTGAACTTGGTGGTCTGGAGGCAAATATACAGAAGACCTGCAGAAATTGAATGCATGGTTTTCCAAGTCAGGGCACAATATCTGACAATAAGCCTGAAAAAGACTCCTATAACCTGAACTTGAATAACCCTATAGTATAGCCAAATGAATTTTCATTAAGTACATACAACTGAATAGTTTCCCAATTTGCACTATGGGGAGGAAGATCACAACATTAAACAAAGATAAACCATGTGCTAGATGCTTTTTGGCACATCTTATTTCACTCAATCCTCCTCTCCACCTTTTATGGTCAAGTTACTAATAAATGGCAGAGCAAGGATTAAACCTTCGTCTAGCCAGCAGATCCCCAAATTCACATCCTTTCCACTAAATCACACTACCTCCTGTCTACCTTGTTCTGATAAATATGCTTTAAAAATCCAAGAAACTAAATGCAATGTGGTATCCTGGATTGCACAGTGGAACAGAAGGCAGTCAATGTGGGAAAACTGGTGAATCCAAAGTCTAGAGTTTAGTTAATAGTATTGCAGCAATGTTAATTTGTTTGGACAAATATACCATTATAATATAAGACAGTAACAGGGGAAACTCTAGGTAAAGAGTAGGGGGGAACTCTACTCTTTTTGTGGTGTTTTTGTAATGTTTCCATAAGTCATAGTTATTCTAAAATAGGAAGTATATTTTTAAAAATTCAAGTAAGTCATGCATCTCAGATATTGTTCTGAAGCTCCATACCTAACAGGATATTTCAGATGGGGGAAACACATGGTTTTTTCTATGATTATGAATTTTAGATCTAGGGCTTCATTCGGGTAGCACAAAAGGAAGTTAAATCCAAAAGCAAGTAATATCTTAGTTGACCATCAATAAAATGCAGCCAGTGAAAAAGAAAACCTCACCAAACTGATCACTGTAGCAGGTGACCTAAACAGCTGCTTTATAACATGCTGAAGTAGGCAATTATGGGTAATTGAGAAGCAGAAACAATACAAGTACACCCTGAAGTAAAGGTTAGAATGATGTCATTAAAACGTTGGATTCTGAGAAGAGCACCAGTAAAGCAGACACAACTGATCCACAGCTATCAGAGAAGCAGAGAGGGATTCATCCTTTTTTGAGTGAAGACCTTACACAAACCATGAAGAGACAGAACTGCAAACAGCAGCAGGCTCCACCCCCAAGCATTTCACCTCAGACCAGAGGGCAGTCTTCCACCTGTCTAGGCTATGGAAAGGACTGCTGATCCTGCACTGATCTCAAAGACATCTGCACAGAGATGGTGTTTCTAGCAGGAATATCATCTCCAAAGAACTGTTCATACACTTACATTGAAAAAGTTTACATAGAAGACTTCAATTTCCATGTCGTTATTATAATCTAAAGCTTAAATCTCTTCCACCCTACTCACCCAGAGTAAACATATAGTTAAATATTCTATGTGCTTAGTTGCATCACTTTAAACTCAGTTGGGCTACCAGCGCTCCAGATGACTTAAGGTCAAAATCATTTTCTGAACCTTCTTGTTTTTGTCTTCTCAGTGGGCTATTTATACCTCTTATTTTAAGGTTTTTTAAACATTTCGCCCCTTTGGAATTTTAATTTACTGTAAACGGTTACCCTTTAGAAATTTACCTACTGCCATTCTATTGACCCTTGCCAAATACAAAATCCTTGATAAAGATGTAGGAAAGGGTGGTGACGGGGAGTAGGGAGATACCAGGGAAACTTAGCAATTGTCTTCTTAGAAATTTGAGTGCTAAGTGCTGAGGAGTGGTCTCTTTGTTACGAATTTAGCATCCGGACCTTAAGGCCGCACAATTATTATTCCTCTGGAACCGTAGGGACTCTCTTTCAAAGAGTCTGTTGTCCAGTTTTCGGGCCACGTTGGGTAATTTCCCGCCCAGGAGCAAGGCCTGAAAAGAATGTCGGTGTTTCCCTTCAGGTATAGGTGCCTGGGGGGTCAGGGGGAGAGGGAGAAGCACGGGGTGGAGTGGGAGGCGGGTGACCGACAGGGATAGAAACGGAGTCTCCTCCTCCCTCTGAATGTGAAATAACCAATGAGGTGGCGCGGCCGGGCCGGCCCGGCCGCCAGTGCCATATAGTATGCAGCAACCGAAGGAGTCACGTTGGGGGAACGGCAGAAAGCAGCTATCCTTTTACACTACTTTGCTCTAGCAGCTATCTTAATGGTGACTGCGTGGCCGGGGGGAAACCTGATCGGCCAGATCCAGCCGAAACCGGGAGGGAGGGAGTGGGCTTTCCGGAGGGGGGGAGGAGGGAGGGAGACGAAGAAGGAGGAGTAAGAGAGGGGGAAAGAAAGAGGAAAAGAGTGCGAGGGAGTGAGGGAGGGAGGAAAATAAACAACAAAAAATGTCCTCTTCCTCCCCCACCGGGCAGATTGCAAGTGCGGCGGACATCAAGCAGGAGAATGGGATGGAAAGCGCCTCGGAAGGGCAAGAGGCGCCGCGAGAAGTGGCGGGGGGCGCGGCCGCGGGGCTGAGCCCCCCGGCTCCAGCCCCTTTCCCCCTGGAGCCGGGGGACGCCGTGGCCGCCGCCGCCAGGGTGAGCGGAGAGGAAGGGGCAGTGGCGGCGGCGGCGGCCGGAGCGGCGGCGGATCAGGTACAACTCCACTCGGAACTTCTAGGCAGGCACCACCACGCCGCGGCCGCCGCCGCCGCTGCGCAGACCCCACTGGCCTTCTCGCCAGACCATGTCGCCTGCGTGTGCGAGGCGCTGCAGCAGGGGGGCAACCTGGACCGCCTGGCCCGGTTCCTGTGGTCCCTGCCCCAGAGCGACCTGCTACGTGGCAACGAGAGCCTGCTGAAGGCGCGGGCGCTGGTGGCCTTCCACCAGGGCATCTACCCTGAGCTCTACAGCATCCTCGAGAGCCACAGCTTCGAGTCGGCCAACCACCCGCTGCTGCAGCAGCTCTGGTACAAGGCGCGCTACACCGAGGCCGAGCGAGCCCGCGGCCGGCCGCTGGGCGCGGTGGACAAGTACCGGCTGCGCAGGAAATTCCCCCTGCCCCGCACCATCTGGGACGGCGAGGAGACGGTGTATTGTTTCAAGGAGAAGTCGCGCAACGCGCTCAAGGAGCTCTACAAGCAGAATCGCTACCCTTCGCCCGCCGAGAAGCGGCACCTGGCCAAGATCACCGGCCTCTCCCTCACCCAGGTCAGCAACTGGTTCAAAAACCGCCGGCAGCGCGATCGGAACCCCTCTGAGACCCAGTCCAAAAGGTGAGCGCCAACTTTCCTCCTCTTCCCCCTTCCTCTCCCCCACCCCCTTCCCAGCTTTCTTTTCCTCCTAGTGCTCGCAAACATGGCGCTTACCTTCCCCACCAGCCCGGTCCGGCTGCCCACCTCTCCCCGCCCCCCACCTCTCTCCGCGACCCGAGGAAGGGGGGCGGCGGGGGCGAGGGGCGGGGGCACCTCCCTCCTTACTCTCCCCCTCCTTTCCCCAGAAGTTTCTCGTCGCCCTTCTAGGTCTCAGTCCCCGCCCCCACCTCGACTGGTCACTGCTGCCCGGTTTTCCACCCCCATCCGTGTGGCTTTGAAGTTGCCACACTCTCCCCGGCGCTGGCTGGGCGAAGGAGCGAGTGTAGGCGCTGGAAAGGCAGCTCTGGCTGCTACCCGAGCCCTACGAAGGTGGCCAGCGCCGCCGGGGTCCGCACCTCCGCCGGGTCACTTCGGCCCGGCGGGCGCTCGCGCTCCCCGAGCCCGGGGGTTCGGCTGTCCCAGGCTGCGCTGGAGGTGGTCGCGGCCGCCCTGGAGGGAGAGTGTAGGTAGGGGCTGGCGGTGCAGAAGGGGGTCTGGGGAAGTCGATGTTTTGTATGACAGAGTTAATCATTCACCGTGCCCGCTGTGGTTCCCTTCACGGCCGACAACTTAGGGGTAGGGGTGTTGGTGCGGCTGGGCTTCGCCGTATTTTGAAACCTGATTCTGAACTTCGGATCGGATTTCAGTGCTGCGGGAGTAGTGGGGCTGGAGGGCTGCTTGCTCGGTCCCCGAACTCTGCGTGCCTCCCTCCCGGTACGACAGCTGGGGGTGGAGGCCGGCCGGCCTGAGGCGGACAGCAGAAAAGGAGTGGGGGCGCTATCAATTCCGCATCGCCTTGAGCGGCCACCCTGGCGGGTTTGAACTTTTTGACTGGCAGGGTATTTTCCCCAGCTGACAGAAAATCCTGGGTCTTCCACCTTTTTTTGTGAATCCTCTGACACTTAGTGTGTGTGTCCCTGTGTGTGATGTTGGGAGAAGTAAGGAGAAGGTCGCCTGAAGAGGTGGTGTCTCCTGCCCTGCGGGGAGAGAAGAGTAAAAATCCAAAAGCAGCTAGAAGGTTCTGCTCCGGGAAGGACTCTGGGAGCCAGGGAGCCCGCGGAGGTGATCACTCGGCGCATTCCAGAGCCCACGGCGGCCCGCCCCCGCCGCTCCTGCCCCGGCACTCCGGCGGGGGCCCGACGGCTCCGGCGATCCTCGCCCAAGGCAGGGAGGGAGGCACTGTGCGTGTGCCCAGCCTCGCGGTAACCAAAACCGCGACCTGCTTGCTCCCTTCCCCAGACTTGCGGTGAGACCCACAGGAGGCGCGCTGGTGACCACGCCACCTGTCCTCGCACCCCTGGCCCGGCGCGCCGACGGAATTCGCAGGGCCTGTGGCAGCGGGTGGGGAGAGGGAGCAGCGCGCAGGCCAGCTGCCCTGCAGCCTCCACTCCCCCGCGTGAACTTTCCTCAGGTCTTACCGGCCACACTCTGCAGGTCTCACGCCCCACCCCACCCCACCCCACCAACTGTACATCCCCGCCCTCGGCTCAGTTGCCGGCTTTAGGCCCCTCTCCGGATCTACCTCCCACCCGCACCCCCGGTGAGTCACTCTCGCCGACTGCGACTGCGGCTCAGCCTCAGCTCGTAAATCAGCGCTTTCTGCGCCCCTGGCCCCTCAGTCCGAAGCCTGGGTAATCCCCTCCTCTTTGCATGAAAGGGAACAAACCGCCGGGCACAGCAGCGATGTAGGATCCTCTGCTGGGCCGAGTCCCGCCACGTTTCCAAATTGCCTCGGTCCTACTCCCCGCGCTCACCACCTCCCAGCCTCACACCAAAAGAGGGAACACCGCCACTACCTACCCCCGGACTTGGTATTTCCCAAGTTGGGGAGCTGAGAAATACAGTCCTGCCTGGAACAGAAGGACTAGGGTGGTAGTGGCGAGGGGTCTGATAGTTACAGGGCCTCTGAGTGGCCCACACCCTCTCCCTTCCACTCACCAGGGCACTGGATGGGTGTATGTTAAATAGGCCCCTATGAGTTCCTTTGGATTCTAAGGTATATAACAGTTACTGGGTTGAAAGTGCCTTTCCTACAAAGGACAACCACTTTGTTGAATGAGTTGTCAGACTGAAGTTTGGGAGATGAGAAAATGATGTCTTGTTAACTAACTGGCAAACAAAACTGAGCTATCCCACCTCCTACTCCTTTGGCGGTTTCATTTACCTCCAAACTCACACTGATCTGAATTGATCTGAGAGAAGGAGTTCCTAAACAAGAAAATCCCATTTAATGAGTTTTGTATGGTATAGGTAGCAGCATATTTAGCAGTAAGGAATGCTATAAATTGCATACATAATTTCTTCAGTGCTATAAAAATGTATATGCAATTCTCCTGCAAATCCTATTAGTGGAATTTACTTCTTCCAGATCTCTGACTTGCCCTGTTTTTATTAGTAAAAATGTTTGGGATATGAGAGTTCATCTTCCTAGATTCTATGTCTGGTTAGATTCTGCTGAAGGCCTCATAGCTTAAACAAGACTAAAGACTTGCTTTCCTTAAATATTGCCTGTAGGAGGTTTAGAGGCTGGTTTTCCAAACAAGTGGCACTATGTACAATGCCATCCCTAACCTTCTGAATGTCTTGATTTCCTCCTCTGTACAGTGAGTCAGATGGCAATCCCAGCACTGAAGATGAATCCAGCAAGGGCCATGAGGATTTGTCTCCTCATCCACTCTCCGGTTCATCAGATGGTGTCACCAACCTCAGCCTTTCCAGTCACATGGAGCCAGTATATATGCAACAAATTGGAAATACGAAGATATCATTAAGCTCCTCTGGAGTTTTGTTGAATGGAAGCTTGGTACCTGCAAGTACTTCACCTGTCTTCCTTAATGGTAATTCTTTCATTCAGGGACCCAATGGAGTTATCCTTAATGGATTAAATGTGGGAAATACACAGACAGTATCACTAAACCCAACAAAAGTGGCATCAAATATTGCAAGTAATGGTATATCCATGACTGACATACTGGGGTCTACCTCTCAGGATGTGAAGGAATTCAAAGTCCTCCAGAGTTCTTCAGCTAACTCAGAAGCCACCACTTCCTACAGCCCCAGTGCCCCTGTGTCATTCCCAGGGCTGATACCCAGCACTGAGGTGAAAAGAGAAGGCACTCAAACAGTGGCTTCCCAGGACGGAGGTTCTATAGTGACGTTTACTACACCAGTGCAAATTAACCAGTATGGCATTGTCCAGATCCCCAATTCCGGAGTAAATGGCCAGTTCCTTAATGGGAGCATTGGATTCTCTCCACTGCAGCTGCCTCCTGTCTCAGTGGCAGCTTCACAAGGTAAAAGTCTCATTTGGTACCATAGTGTTGCAGTGAATGTTTGAGCCAGCTGCAGTAAATGATTCATTTGGTGAGAGCTATAAATCAGTGTTACGTACTGTTAAGGTACCTTAGTGACTGCCATAGCTGCAGAATAGCCTTGATTTGTTTCTCCTTCTTCACAACGTGCATGTAATGTCCAGCTTGCTTGGTTCCCTGGCATTATGGGTTTTTATTGTCCTAACAACTGAATGGAAGTTACAGTTGCTACAGTTTATTGCAAGTCTTGCCAGTTTTGCAGTTAAAGAAATATGATAAGTCAATCAGTGCTTACAAAACAACCCATTGCTTGACATTTTAAGAAAAAAAACTAGTAATATAAGAACACAAAATTAGTCCTATAGCTAGTAAAAATGTATATATTTATTTGACCAAAAAGTGTTTTAGGAGAGCAAATTACAAAGACTGGACAATTTTGTTTGATTCATGTTCCTCCTAAATTAACACTAACAAATCTAGAGGAATAATAGGAATATGTGATTGGGTATCTATTGCTCTGCATGTATATTTGCCTCTTAAATATATAGGCTTATTTATGAAGGCAACTGTAAACCTTATTTTATACATTTGTGGCTTTACTAAAAGCAGTCTGCTAAAGGAAGCACTAGTCTGAAATTCAGAAAACCTGAAGCTGATATGCCAGCTCTTCACTGACTTTATGCAAGTCTGATGGCTCTGTCATTTCCTCTATATAGAAACAGGGATGGTTAGAATAGCAGTGGAGGTTGCATAGTCCCTTTAATTCAGGAGTGCGAGATGTTAATGCATGTTTGCCTCCCTATAAGCAAATCTGAAAGTTCAGATTTTTACCAAAGCAAGTTAAGTAATTGTTTGTCCGAAAAATCAGCTTCCTGTAAAATGATTTTTTTTTTTAATGCACAACTGTTTTGTTTCTGCAACTATGACCTACTTCAGTTTATTGGAAGCATTAGTGAAAATTGTTGTGGAGTAAATTTCACCTGTACATTTATTTCTCTTCAGGTAAAGTGGTAGTAAAACACAATAGTCCTGTAGCACACTATTTATTTCTTCATTGTTCCAGGTTAGTGAAAGAAAGGATTAAGCTATGTTATTATATAACATAGGGCAAAAATGTGAAAACCACAGGGATAGCACCAGTGCTGAGTTTTATAGTAATGTGAGATGAATCTAACCCTTTTCTCTCTTTAGGATATTTCCAAAGAGTAGGTAACATTTTAAAAATAATAAATTTGAACCAAAAGCATGGTATGTACATTAGAGGAGGAGAAAAGCAGAAATACATTTCGCATGTATCTAGAAAAGTGTTACCATAGAAAATTATTACAAAGTAACAGCTCATTTTTAAAGTGGGACATGCAATATGAATGAGAATAGCATTTTCGGTTAAAAGAGCTAAGATCAAATGACAGAGCTGTCAGTCCTTAGACTGGGTGAATTGCAGGCATAAGTTTAACCAGATGGGTCCAAAAAGCAAGGTTCCTTTATAGTAACTGTGTATTGCAGGTTTCAATAAAACATTTGGGGGTTCAGCCTTTCTTAAAAACAGATTCTGAGCCTTTCTTAAAAACGTCTAGGCAAGGTAGGTTAACTTTCTGTGGTTGGGATTTATATGTAAAAGTAGTTGTCATCTTTTACTAACTTCATAATCTAAGAAAATCAAGTTTTTTCTTTACCATTGGTACAAAATTAAAGTTTATATCTATATCATTTTTTCACTTGGGTTTTTTAAACTGATCTTGAAATTATTGTCCAAATTATAATCCAATTGCAGTTAAGCTTAAATATCAAATTTTAGATCACATCTGTTTTCCCCTTGCATTTATATAATTTATGTACATTCAGAAATATTTTTTTATTTATTCAATTCCCGTTGGAGAAAGTGTCACATTTATTATGTTATTAATGGCTCTATCAAAGATAACTAATAATTTTATTCACATATACACTGCAAACAATTTCACAAGCATATACACACACAAAATAAACATTTACTTCAGGTAACTTTTTGTCACAGTTTAGCAACCAAAAAGAACTTTAAAGCATACTTAAGTTGAAGTCAGATGTTTTCAAATAAAAGCCTTTATCTTTTGTTTGACCTGGAACAAACATTTGTGGTAGGGAAAAGCCCAAACATACGTAAAATGTTTCCCAGTATTTCCATGATGAATACTTTCTAGTGGTTAAAATTTTTCAAGTTCCAATACAGTGTTTTCATTTTCTTTTATTCCACTTAAAGACTTTTCTTTACATTTAAGGTGTTTAAAAATGTTTGGAAGATTATAAATAGCAGTGTGACATTTTCTCAATATAGATGGTAATATAATCACAATTATTCTAATAATCCAAGTTTTGGTGAATTACCTTTAATAGTGGGCTTTCTCAAAACAGTAGTTTATTGAACATCTAATACAAGAGCAGGGTAAATAGCCCAACTGAATGATTCTGTGACAAAAATCCTCAAGTCCACCTTTCCTTTAATGGCAAGATAATTGCCATCATTTCATTGTAAAGACTCAGAAATAAAAGGGTTTTATTTGGTTGTGAGATGGGGAGGGAGTGTCTAATTCATCTACATCCTCTGAGTTACCTGATTTGAACACATCAACTATCTACTTACATTTCTTTCTCTACTTTTGGTCTCCACAGACCATTACAGTGAGCCTCAAAAGACAACAAATTTAGAGAAGCCTTAGCTCTAGTTATTTATATTAATCTGTATTTAAAAAACACATTTCATTATTGTCATTAATTCTTTCTATCACTACAACAGTGAAAATCCAGAACTGGCACAACAAAAGAAAAAAACCTGTTGGATGTTTGTTGACATTACTTTATGGTTAGTTTGGTGAAAGTTTGCAACTTGTCTGGACAAGTTTATGGTTAACTTTAAGCCCCAGGGTAACTCATTTTATGTGGTATTTTCCATTTATATTTTGTCAGTTACTGAGCTTGAGCTGAACAAAGGTACTTATTTTGCATTTGTTTTCTAGTTCTAACTAGCAGAGCTTGCAATAACTACCAACTAACTGAGAGATAGCAAGTTGATAATAACAAGAAACTTGACTGAAATTAGAACTTGCAAAAGATTTATTTTTTCACACTTGGCTTCTAAACCAGTAGTTCTCACTCCCACTGGATCATCAGAATTACTCAGGGAGTTTTAAGATAACACCAGTTATAGGATTTACCGAGTCAGATTCTCCAGAGTGGAATCTCGTAATCTGTAGTTTTAAGTATTCAAGGTGATTCTACGGAACCTGAGAAAAATCGTGCGTGCAGAAAAGTATCTTTTTTCTCTCCTTATCATTTCCATCATGATGAATACTTTCTAGTGGTTAAAATTTTTCAAGTTCCAATACAGTGTTTTCATTTTCTTTTATTCCACTTAAAGACTTTTCTTTACATTTAAGGTGTTTAAAAATGTTTGGAAGATTATAAATAGCAGTGTGACATTTTCTCAATATAGATGGTAATATAATCACAATTATTCTAATAATTCAAGTTTTGGTGAATTACCTTTAATAGTGGGCTTTCTCAAAACAGTAGTTTATTGAACATCTAATACAAGAGCAGGGTAAATAGCCCAACTGAATGATTCTGTGACAAAAATCCTCAAGTCCACCTTTCCTTTAATGGCAAGATAATTGCCATCATTTCATTGTAAAGACTCAGAAATAAAAGGGTTTTATTTGGTTGTGAGATGGGGAGGGAGTGTCTAATTCATCTACATCCTCTGAGTTACCTGATTTGAACACATCAACTATCTACTTACATTTCTTTCTCTACTTTTGGTCTCCACAGACCATTACAGTGAGCCTCAAAAGACAACAAATTTAGAGAAGCCTTAGCTCTAGTTATTTATATTAATCTGTATTTAAAAAACACATTTCATTATTGTCATTAATTCTTTCTATCACTACAACAGTGAAAATCCAGAACTGGCACAACAAAAGAAAAAAACCTGTTGGATGTTTGTTGACATTACTTTATGGTTAGTTTGGTGAAAGTTTGCAACTTGTCTGGACAAGTTTATGGTTAACTTTAAGCCCCAGGGTAACTCATTTTATGTGGTATTTTCCATTTATATTTTGTCAGTTACTGAGCTTGAGCTGAACAAAGGTACTTATTTTGCATTTGTTTTCTAGTTCTAACTAGCAGAGCTTGCAATAACTACCAACTAACTGAGAGATAGCAAGTTGATAATAACAAGAAACTTGACTGAAATTAGAACTTGCAAAAGATTTATTTTTTCACACTTGGCTTCTAAACCAGTAGTTCTCACTCCCACTGGATCATCAGAATTACTCAGGGAGTTTTAAGATAACACCAGTTATAGGATTTACCGAGTCAGATTCTCCAGAGTGGAATCTCGTAATCTGTAGTTTTAAGTATTCAAGGTGATTCTACGGAACCTGAGAAAAATCGTGCGTGCAGAAAAGTATCTTTTTTCTCTCCTTATCATTTCCATCGATGATAATATGTACTTTATTTTTTTTTAGGTAATATTTCAGTAAATTCAAGCACTTCAGATGGGAGCACATTTACAAGTGAGTCCACCACAATCCAGCAAGGAAAGGTTTTCTTGAGCTCTCTTGCTCCCAGTGCAGTGGTATATACTGTTCCTAATTCAGGCCAGACTATAGGATCTGTTAAACAGGAGGGCTTGGAGAGGAGTTTGGTATTTTCTCAGTTGATGCCTGTCAATCAGAATGCACAAGTAAATGCGAACCTGTCTTCTGAGAATATCTCGGGGAGTGGCCTCCATCCACTAGCCTCCTCATTAGTTAATGTATCCCCAACTCACAATTTTTCCCTGACTTCCCCTACCCTACTAAATCCCACTGAGCTAAACCCTGACATTGCTGATAGCCAGCCAATGTCTGCACCTGTGGCAAGCAAATCTACTGTGACATCTGTCAGCAACACTAACTATGCAACTCTTCAGAACTGCTCCCTTATTACCAGTCAAGATCTATTGTCAGTCCCCATGACCCAGGCTACCCTTGGGGAAATAGTTCCTACAGCTGAAGACCAGGTGAGTCACCCCTCCCCAGCAGTACACCAAGATTTTGTCAGAGAGCATCGCTTGGTTCTGCAATCTGTAGCTGACATAAAAGAGAATTTCTTAACAAATTCTGAGGGCAAAGCAACAGGCAACTTAATGATGCTGGACTCCAAATCTAAGTATGTCCTGGAGGGCATGGTTGAGACTGTCTGTGAAGATCTGGAAACCGACAAAAAAGAGCTTGCCAAGCTCCAAACTGTCCAATTGGATGAAGATATGCAAGACTTATAAACTTTATTGCCCCCAACCTTTTTTTTTTCTTCTGTCATCAGCAGGCAAATCTTTTCACAAAGCCCTGAGGACATAAAGCATTTTTCCATTTAAAGGGAAACACTAGTTTTGCAAGTAAATGCATTCAAGAGACTTAGAGTTGATCTGCATGAAGATCACAGTTAAAATATACAGGAGTAGAACTGCATTACTGCAGCCTTTTTGTTCACAGATGTTCTTTCCTAAATAGATGAAGACAATGCAACAAGATGAAATGTATCAAGTCAAAGTGTATCATTTGGTTGACTTAATATAATTCTAAGGTCAAATGGGACTTGATAAATAGTTTTTTAAATTAAAAATGCATACAACTGACATGGAAAATTAAATATTGCTACAGAGCTTAGAAACAATACAAACAATTCTTTTTGTTTACTTTTCCTCCATGGGCATTGATAAGGTTAGGAAGCATAAATGGTACTCCACATTATATTTTAAGGGTATATTTTTGAATATATGTATTTCTGTTTTTCAGCATTTTTGTGAGTCTTGGTTTGTCTCTGTACATTTCCAAATGTGATTGCAAGTAGTTCAGTGGGGCTGAGAAAGTTTGCAACTCCACTAAAAACTCAAACTTCAGTATGAGTGTAAATATATTAGTCCTGTAAGCAAGTATTGAGTAATTATAGTGAATTTTATTTATGCTGTATATATGTTTCTCTTATACTTCGGACACTAGGAATTGAAAAGGAAGATGTTTTCTTACTGTTTAATTTATTTTATTGTTCGAACAGGAAGTGAACAGTTATTTCCAAGAAAGTTTTACTTTTTGTAGGATTTTAAAAGTAATGATTTTTATCAGGAGTCAATTAAGGTCAATATTTATAACACTGAAACAGGCAATCTAACTCCCAATATTGGAATTTCGGTACTTTTTTTCACACCCTTGTTCTTTATTTAGCAATCCAATTCATTTAAATATTTTTTTCTATAGAATTCTATGTGCCTTTTTACCTTGTGGCCTTTTTATTATTCTTACTAAGGTACAAAAGTGTCAACAGAAGCACTGATGGCTCTTTTCTACTATCTAACAGGGTTAATTACACCACAGAATTGCTTTAAATCTAAAGAATTAAGTTTCAATTGTATTTTTATGTATAATGTTTATGATGCAAATAGATGAACAACTGATTATTGTTGATGCTTGTCATTACAATGAAAAATAGCAACAATTATAGACTACCATGTAAAATTAATCCTGTAGGCTATGAAACCAACCCTCTTAAAGAAAGAATATAAATTCTATTGAGCACATTCTGTCCTATTGAAATACTTAGTTCTCAATGTTTGGAATCAGTTGTTACATTATGACATATGACTGTTGTTTGCACTATATTATCATGTCTTCTTTAAAAGTAAATCATTTTTGGTTTCTCTAAGAAGCTTGTTTGATAATGTTGTGAGCTGTGGTAGTTTTTATTAGGACTGAATACAAGATGTTAAACTACAACACATTTATGTAGTGAGTAAAGTCTCTGGTCCTCGCAAAACAAGAAAAGTGAGAAGTGGTCTCTTGAGAGATGACTTAACATTGTTGAACATAAAGATGTTACCACGTCTTGCTTTTTTTAAGATCAGAACAAAGGGTCCATTGAGATCTCTACATGCCAAGCAGCTGAGCATGTTGAAAAAGGGCCGTAGAGGGTTTAACTTACGTTGTTATTGCAGATGGAACTTGCAGGCATAGGTAAAGAGCCCTGTGAAGAATTCCTCTCCCATAATTTTGATAAAGAACTTAGATCCCATCTTTCATTAGTGGATGTTCCTAAACTGCTGAAACTACATGTTTTTTGTTGGTCTTTTTTTACAAAGTCAGCTAGGTGTTTATTAGAGTTCTCTTCCACTCCACCACTACTTATACAGATTGTTTCTTCCCTTTGGGTAGGTAGTGATCATGTTATTGAGATTAGTTACATGATTCTAGAGTGTAGTTTACATGAAAATTGTTTTCCACTTGATTACTCTGATCCTAAAAAAAAGAGTTTGTTAGTTACTTAAGACTACCCATCCAATAAGGGAGATGGGAAGGTTTAGAAAGTTATATATATTATATATATAACTGGAAAAGTTCTTTATGTCTTCCAAAAATATAATAAGCCTTTTATGCACCATTCTTCCTCTTTTCTCCCTTAAGAAAAAGAAAAGATAGCACAAAACTTAAGACTTACCGAGGAAACCCATTCATATTCCCAACAAGATGTAATTATACCCCTACAATTATTGCAGGTAGCTACACAATATACCAGGTAAGAATCAGTGCACATTATAAAGAACTATTGTTCTTTTCTATTCTTATTCAGTAAAATAAGCCCATATACATGTGAATGAAATAAGGTAAACCCATGATCTCCTTGCACAGAATTGCAAATGTTTTTTGCAATCCCAAGGGCCAGACTCAAAACTTGGAGTTCATGTAGCAGAATTTCTCTCTTACATAAACCAGTGCTTGAAGATGCTGCAAATGACCCTCTAATGATGCCCAAAGAGGAATCAGAATAGGGGTGAATAACTCTCCCTGCAAATGCCAGCCACTGCTGCTGGTTGTGGGATTTTTGGTGTGAAGCTATCTATGCACTCTATTAGCCAGAATTTGGCATTTAGCTCTTAGTTACATCCAGTTAAAGTACAGTCTCTCATTTGGAGAAGGTGCATTTGTTCCTTAAGCAAGAGCACCTGTGTGGTACTGCTTTTATAGCTCATGTATATTTATAATAATGAAAAGACTGAATTGTACATGTTTCAGTGCCTTTCTTGTTTTATGAAAGGCAGGTAGATGTTATAGCCATAGATAAAAATCTGTAGTTAAATTGCACACTGACCTTAAATCTCCCTGTATATGCCCTTGCATCTTGCATGTTAAACGTTGGATTATTGGGCATGTGTTGCAGTCTGCCCTGCTACATGTCAGACAAGTGTGCATTAGGACATAGCCAGAATTCTTTAAAATGTTTTTGACAGATCATCTCATCATAAGAATATAAATAATTCAGGAGAGTTGTGGGAAAAAGAATTACATTTACAAAAGATGTTTCAAAGTCTTCCTAGAAATTAGATAATAGAGCTTAATAGTTATTTTGTATCTAGTTGATACATTTCATGTTAATATTACCACCATACATTCTATTAATCAAAATGATATAGCATGTGACTTTTGGCTTTCAGGGTTCTCAAAAAATTTGTATTTTGTTGCATGTACTGTATGTTTAGAGGCAACCAGTTATATACTCACTATGGTTTTACTGTGCCTTACACAAAGGAAATCTATACAGAATGTATATCATGGGGTGGGGTAACAGAGTCTTTACTGCACTGTTAGGTGATGGCACACAGAGCATGTCCCAGAACATTTCTGTGCTTAATTACCCAACCAAAGAGATCTAAAGTATGTATGTTGTACTGTAATAGGGGTTTATGCCTGGACAATTGTTTTATTTGTTTTCTGAAATGATGTGAACTTATTTTTCTAAACACTATGCTAAATAAACTTTATATTTATACATATATACATCATGTTGAAAAGTTATTTATCCCTGGAAAAGCAGAGAAGGATAAGGAAAAACAAAAATCCCCACACATTTCATAAGCTGCAAATATAAGGACAATGGGAGTCATTTTAGAAAAATAAACTCTGTTGGTCATTTTATAAAATTATGCAATGCCTTTGGGTATCCCAAAATCTGAATCTGGTACTCCATAAGGTTCAACAAAATTAAATTGAAAGTTTCAAAGACATTTCCATTCCCAATCTTATTGAAAGAGCTCAATATAATCCATCTTTTTAAAGCACTCCCATTAGCCTAAGACTGATTACACCACAGTTGGGTCCACTAAAACTCTTGACTAAAGTTATGAATAGAACTGCACAACTTAAGTGTGTGCTAAGATGTGGCCTTGGTACAGTTTGATCCTAATTTTAAAATCACAGGACATCTGTATGCTTCCCACACTGAAATGGAGAATAGTGTAAATTGGGACCAATGGTACAATTCTATTACAAAACTAGTTAAAGCCACCAAATTTATTTGCTCAGATTAACTTAATTAATTCAAATGTCTAGACCTTTATGTATTCTTGTAATTCAGATAAATTATTTAGCAATTTTCTATGTAGTTAAACCAGTTACAGTGAATAGTGTCTCTGAGTAGGGTTGGAGTATTTTGGAATAATTATATTTTATGACATCTTTTAGAGCATTTGACAAAGTCACTAACCTTCAATTATTTTTGTGGCGCCAAGGAAACCAGCAGATTAAATAAAACTCAATGTGAATTCAACACTCAGCTTTATGATTTTGTCTTTTCCAGTCTCCCTTAGGAAATAATAAATTTGGAAATTTACCTTTGCATATCACCATTTCCAATACAGTAGATAGTAAATAAATAAAATCATACAATGATCAGGGCTACAAAGTCAATAACAGCATAATGGAACTGAGAATGGGGAATGGTAGAGGCGGGAACATAAAACATATCAAGAAAAGTCTGAGGAAGTAACATTCCAGCAGAGAGGCTTGAATGATGAGAGAGAGCCAGCCAGCTGCGAGACCTAGAAAAGAGCATTTCAAACAGGAGACAGCAGGTACAAAGGCCCCGAGGGAGGAGCAGAGTGGCTGGATCACAGTCTTGACTCTAGGCGGCATATGATACAAGATCCAGTCAGAGAGATAGGCAGGGACTAGATCATAGGTATTTACTGGCCTGTGCCAAATAGTTTGGATCTGAGTCTGAGAAGCAAGGGATGACGGAACATGATATACACTTCAAAATATCACAGCGTCTATTCTCTGGAGAATGGTGTTGTAGGAAGCAAGAGTGAAAGCAGAATTAGGGAATTATGTCATGTTGTCCTAAACTGTTGGACAGGAAATACTTTAGGAGCTCTTGAAGTATGTATGGCAGTTTGTCCCTCTCCAGAATTTTGTGCTCTCCAAGTCTTCTGTCTACTCTGCCTCCTGCTATTAGGAAAAGCTTCCAGCTTCTTGCTGTGATTGTCCCAGCCCGAACCTGTGTCCTTAACTCCAAGCTGGAAGAGCCATTTCTCTAAGGGATATTTTCAGAATGTCCCTGTTACCTTTGACTCTATATATGAAAATTTGAACTATTATGTGTGCCCTAAGCCTGTTCCTTACTCTGTATTCCTCATTTCAGTAGCATTCATTCACCCACTGGCCAAATAAAAAATCTGGAATTCACTCTGGAGGGTTCTTTCCCTTCCTTCCCACCTCAACCAGATCACATTTACCCACAGCTGCTCTTTTACTGTCTTGAATCAGTTTCTTTTCCTCCATTTCTATGGTTACTGTTATAATTTAAGTACTTATCATTCTCAACTGGCCGTCATTTCAGGTTACATTACAACTATATTTAGATGGGACTTTCAGAATTCAAGACTTACCCCAGCCTCATTTTCAAAGGCTAGCCATTGCCTACAAAATACCATTTAAACTCCTTAACATACAAAGACCCAGGACCTAATTTTCTGTCTAGTCCCATCTCTAGCCACATGAAATTTCCCCACAGAGACCAGGAGCTTTCTTATCTACCCAATCTCCAAGACTCACCAGACATCACATGCTCCAGTAATTTCCGCCTCACCCTCATAAGCAGATTAGTGCCTAGCCCATTCTGTGATTAGACCAGGGATTTATACCTTCCTTTGGTGTGGCACTTACCACATCACTGTAATTACACGTCTGCTTCTCTACACTTTCATCTTTGTTTCTCTGGTATTTAGTATAGTAGAGCATAGACACTTAAAAATTTGTTGAATCAGTAGTGACTCTAACAGTCATCCATCCCTTTAAACCATTTCACTTGCTAATAGTAAAAGAACTTTAGGGCTAACTGGTTAAAGCATTGCCCTTATTTAGAGAACAAAAATAAGTGAGCACATGTTGGGGTAGGTGCTGAGAATGATTCTTTGAATCTTCTAGTATTAGTAGACAATCTCTTTTTTTTATTGCAATAAAGTTGAGTGCACAGTCTTTATGGTAATTATTGTGCTTACTCCTCTAAGGTTTTTTTCCACTTCCAAATAGAGGCTGGGTGCCAGGTTATAGAGGTCGTCTAAAATTTGACAGACAAGTGGGGCATAAGCAAAAATGTACTTACTAAGCCTTTTCAGATCAATGTTTCAAAAATCACAGTGAGGTACAAAAAAGCTATTTATACTTATGTATAGATATACTTTCTAAAAATATTCTCTGCGGATGTTCTTACTGTATTTGAATCAAGCAGATGTCTAAAGAGTCTATGAGGAATAGTAAATGGGACGTAAAGTTTAGCATCAGGAAATCTAAATTCTTATTAGCCTTTAGATTTGGGAAACAGCAATTTACCTCTCTGAGACCTTTTTTGTTTATTGAAATAGGTACACTGGATATCATATTTGAGATCCATGTAGTTGTAAGAAAAAGAAAAGGGTTAATAGGCTGCACTCCCTCCTCTGCCCCACCAAAGGTTAAGAAGATCAAATCAATTACAGAATGAAAGTACACTGTGATCGGCCAAGGGCTACAAATATAAGATAAAATATTTGATATTGAGTGAACAATCTGTGGCCCCTAGGATATTTAGAGGTGGAGAGCTAAGTAAGGCAGGTCTGGTTTTGTACTCCTCCACCTTCTTCACCTGTATCTACTTTGTTCCCTAAAGTTCTGCCCTCCCCTCAGGTATTGCCCTATCTCCCAAGTGCCTTAAGTGATAATCCTGGGGTGGGTGATCAACTGTTACAGGTATAATGATCCCAACCCCTTCACCCCTCTCGAATTTGCATTTTAAGGAAGGCTTTTGAAGATACAAAAGAATCCAGCTGTAATCACTGATTGTCTTGCCAGTGGGTTCCAGCCCCTGGGCAAGTTCTCTATGGATTCAATGTGACCAAAGTTGACAGTAGAATGTTCTTGAGATGAAAGGGTTATACCCAACTTTATTTCCACGGTGGCAGGTCAATCACTAAAATCCCATCCACTCTGAGCAAGTCTGCACACAGCAAGCCAGTCTCTGCCTCTGGGACTCTCTACCAACACGGCCATCTTAGTCACTGCCACCACTCCAGCCTCTGCTCTGCTCTCCTGCAACCTTGCAGCCGTGCCACGGTAAAGAGCACTGGAAAGCGCTCTTTATAGAGTCGATAACGACGTATTGCCCACACGTGTGTAGTGAGCTAGCTGACCAGGGCCAGGTGAGAATCCTGGCCACGGGAACCTTCACTTTATCCACATGAATGATATATTGCAGATCAATAAAACTGAGCAAGGTGTTCCCTATTTCTCAGTGCAGTAGGCATGTGTGTGTGTGCATATGTTTTTCTGTATTTGGGGAGTAGGGAGAGAAGTACGGATGAGCAGAAGAAAAGAAAATGTCACCGTTTCCCTTATTTCTGTGCTCAACATGCTCAATGTGTATCAAGGGCCAGACCTTGGAACCTGAGCTACTGATCCTTTGAAAACAATTAATGGTGTAGTTTTCCCCGAATCCATCTTGTCCAGAGTCCAGGATATTTCCTTCAAGAGGATTCCTGTTCTGAAAAGTTATTAGCTATAATGAACCATAAAAGTTAACCATAGAAAAACTAGGGTTGTTCTGGGTTTTTTGTTTTGTTTTGCTTTTTAAAATGTTAGCTACATAGGAGATGTGCCAAAGAGAAACCCAAAGTATGCATTTGGTTAAAAATTAGGAAATGTAAGTTTGTATTTATTTTTCTTCATTTAATAAGTATATTCTTACCATGTTCTTTAACAGATGGACGGCCTTGAATATCTTAGTATAAACATATTACTTATTCCTTGGCAAATTTATCTTATTACTGCTTAATGGGAATGAAGATCGATTAAATCCTGCCCCTGCATGAATAATCATCAAAGGTCTTAATCCTAAATTGTTCAAGTATCCTATCCCAATCATCCCAGGTAGATTTTCCAAAATGTCTCCTATGAACACATACTAGTTCTAAGAATACATACAATCTGACCTAATAAGAATCCCTTATCTCTAATCTCATTGTACAGTCATACTCTGATAACTTAACACATATCCATCTTTCCAAAACTGAGTACAGATTTTCATAACAGGTAGCAAACCATCATTGTTGTAATACTGAGTTCCCAGTGTGAGGGAAGCTATAGTAATACAAAAAGTGTATTTTTTCATGAAGGGATAAATTAGGGTAAAATTTCCCTTTAACTATTTCATTTTAAATGGTTCATATTGACAAGGTAATTAAACATATAGGCAAGATTGGGTCCATATATAAATTACCTAAGGGGAAAACTATTTGTCAAACTTTTTATTCCTTAGAAGCACTCTCAAATATATAGCCATTGAAGTGTTAAATATAATGTATTTCTCTCTATCATAGCAGATTCCACCCCACTCCCAAACATGGAGCCTACAGGAAATTTTTTTCTAAGTTATTATATGGTCTATAAGTAAAACTTCCCTTTAATTTTTTTTCAGTAATGTGAAATTTTTCATTATTCACACTGGCAGACCTCTTTCCAGTC